AGGCGATTTGCCCTAAGGGTCCAAGTGCCACAAAACTAAGGACCCTTAGGGCTTTGTGAAGTTCTACGGCAGCTGTTAAACACGGCCCCTCCAGCTCGGAAAACTGCCATTACTATTTATTAAGAGTATTGTCCTTGTTGTGATTGTTATTACTTACTGCTGCTACTATTGTTACTATTACTACCATTTATTACTATCACTACCTCGTTAAAAGGTCCCTTTTTGTTGAAGCCTTGCTCAGATCCTCGCATCCAAGGCTCCGGGAACGTGGGCCATGTTTCTTAACTAGGGAGTCACAGAGATCTTTGTGGAGATATGCTAAGGTTTAGGGTTTAGGGGTTTAGAGTTTAGGGTTTAGGGCTAAGGGGTTAGAGCTCCGGGCTCCGGTTTGAGATGTTTGCGCATCAAGATCTGAGGTACTGCTGGTGATATAAATCCTGCATTACCTTAAGGACCCGAAACTATGGGAATTATGGTAAAGTCCTTATTATGGGTCATGCAGGATTTATATCATCCACCGTATCTTAACACTTTGAGTGTGCTGTCTTCGCGCATCAGGCTCTCGGGTGCAACTCAGCCTCTTTTCTCCAATCACCAGGTCCAAAACAGCTAGGACTTTCGATCATAGACCAAGTATAGAAAGCCGAAGTTCTCCCATTGGTTATGTAAGTTAACCCACAAAGAGCTCCGACCAACCCAAGTGCGATCCCATCCAATGCACTCACAAACCTACGTGGCCTCGGAGCCGTCTCAAGTTCTAGGGTTTACCTAAACCATCCAATCCGCTAACCCTATACTCACGAAGCCCGTAAAGTTCTTGTCCTATAAATGACGCATGCCTCAACCTGCACCCTACAAAAGCAGACACGACAACCCTTCCAGCTACCCCGCAAAACCCTCAGCCCCTAACACCCAAACACCTGAAGCCCAAGAGCTCTGAACTTGAACCCTTAATTAAACCCCGAAACCCAAAAGACCTGAACCCTAACCCCGCAAACCCCTAAACCCTAAACTCCTACAGGTGCCTTGAAGGAACCCTGCAAGCCCTCCTAGTCCTAAACCTCGCAAAACCCTGTAACTCCATCACCTCCCCATGTGTTTGGCTCTTATAACCCTACATGGAGGGTCGGAGGACTTAGTAAGTAGGTAGTAAGTAGACTTATAAGTACCCTAAAAGGGACCCGGTTATGGTACTTATAAGTCCCAACAATAACCAGTTACTAAGTCCCCCGACCCTCCAAGTAAACCCTGGTATGGCATCGGGCTCTTAGAGCTCTGCCTGCAGCTGCAGCAGGACATAGCTTAACCCTAAACCCTAAACCCTTAAACCCTAAACCCTAGCTCCGGGCTGAGGGCTTACCTGGACCCCCCAAAATGTCTCGAACCCCAAGAGGGTCCACATACACCACTATGATGACTTAGGTCCCCAGAACCACAATGGGGATGGTCCTTTAGGGCCTAATTCCATAATGGGGGTGTATATGGGAGTTTCCCCAAATTAGGGGTACCTTATTTAAGGGTCCTTATACTAAGGATCCTACTATTTAGGGTACTATATTAGGGTCCCTTATTTCCGAAACTCCCATATGGACCCTCTGGAATCGTAGCATTTTTCTGGACTTTCAGGGTGCTCCCGGCTCGGCCCTTGGATTGGGCTAGGCCTGCGGCTTGGTGCTTAGAGCCTGGGGTTTAAGGTTTAGGGTTTGGGGCTTCGGGTTAAGGATTTAGGGTTTGGGGTTTAAGGCGTCTCGGCTCAGATAACGCATTGGGTGGTCTCTGCGATTCCGCCTTTTGCTTATTAGGTTCCAGACCCTAGCGATTTCCTGCCCTTGCAGCCATTCGCGAACGCCTTCGGTCTGGGGACCTGAGGCACGGTGCTCCGGCGCCTGGGACTTGGCTCCCTCGGTAGCTGCCTCTGCACAGGCCTACCTTGCCTTTTACCGTGGGTGGCTCCACGTTCTGCTGGGCTTTTTCCGCGGATTTGCCCCCGCTCGCTGACGCTGCAGTTCACTCTGCCGTCAGCCTCCTACAGCCTGCGGTGCTGATTGGCCCTTTGCTGCGCGGTTGGCCCCCGCTTTACCGTTGCTGCAGTTCACTCTGCCAACGGGGTTACATTTGGTTTTCTATGGTCAGTGGGAGGATTTTCTGGCCTCTTTACCCGCTCCTGCTCATTGGTATTGGGCTCATCTGGATTGGACAACCTCCGCACGATCCCCAGGTTCCAGGAACCCGGCTGGCACAGGAGGAGACGCAGACAGCGTCTTCACGCTCGCCTCCGTTTGCACGGAGGTCGTGGAACGTTGAAGGACGTTCACCTGCTTCGGCAACACCACGGATCGATGCCACCAAAGGGGGCCCCACAGAAAGACAAAGCCCGAGGCAAAGGGGACAGCAAAGGGAGCCGGCCGGAGGGTCCCTTGCCAACGACGTCCACAGTTCAGCTGGGATTTCCACAAGAGGTTATAGCGGCTCTACAGTCTATTCGCGACCGATCTAACGTCGGACCTGCGTTTAGACGACTTTACAGTGGACGAAGATCGTACACTTATTCAAGCAGCCAACCTCCAGGCATCTGCTGTTGCTCGCGCGACAAAGCGCCTCGAAGCAAATGCGAAAGCCAAACTGGGGCTCCAGCAGGTGCTTCCGACGTGGCTAGACAAGGTGGGACGCCACCTGGCTGCGATCCCTCGCCAGATCAACGGAGTCGGGGCCAAGATCGATGCAGATATCCAAGAAGCCATCATGGCTCTGGACACGGCATCACAAGGACTGGTTGCGGGGCAAGCGGCAGCACTGAGACAGCAGGCGACGGAGGTGCTCGGGCCGGCGATTCCTGCCGTGGTCGGGCACGAAGTCCTTCGATTGGCTGCGGAGCTGCGTGCGGCTGGTGCAGTCGCCCCGCCAGCATCGAGTATATCGCAGCCGCATGCAGTGCTCCCTCTTTTCGGGAATGCAGAAGAAGGCATGCTGGTAGAGCAAGGCAGTTTTGCTTCTGTCCCTGCCAGCTCGATACCATCCCTGGACTCCTCCTTTGGCGCCCAGCACGCGGCGGTGGCACGAAGTCCGGACACTCTGAACACATCGGCCCCGGTTGGCACAGGCCTGGGCCGGAGATGGGGCCAACGAATCCGGTCTCGACCAGGCCTTCCAAGAGCCCCCGCAAGACTGGCAAGATCGCTTCAGATGGTCACACGGAGGTTCTGCGCGAGGCGGATGTATCGTCACCTTGGCTATCGACGGCCACGGGCAGATCGCCCACTATGAACAAGCCTGCGGCTATATTCAAAGCAGACGATGCTGGCGATCACGCCCCAGGTGTCGCTTCAGGATCCCTGGAAGAGGAGGCAGTCCCGTCTGGACTTTCTGCAGATGCGGAACAAGGCGAGCGAGACTGGCAATTTGCTCAGCAGGCGTGGTTTCATGCGTGGGTCAATATGGCTCAGCGCATCACAGTCCAAGGCTCGGATCTGGTCGGCGATGTTCCGGGGCACTTGGAACAGGTGCATCTGCCTGGACAACCTGCCAGCGCCGACGAGATCCAAGAGTGTCACCAAAAGGCCGAGACCCTTTGGCAGGCCTTGCGTGCACATGCAGAGCATCCCGACGAGGTCAAGGGCCACCACATACTGCAGGTCAGTCGAGAGGTACAACACCTCGGCGGAATGATACACTCGCAGCCAGTGTTGGTAACTACATGCAGGCAAGGCTTGGTAGCCCTGGCCCACCTTCTCAACCAAAGAGTGGCGGGGCTTGCCAACTTTGCCCCGCAAACGCTGCAGGAGTGGGCAAATCCTCATGTGGTACTCCAGCAAGGCCTGCAACCAAAGGGCCATCTGTCCACGACCCGGACAGAGGACGACGTGGAACTGATCCTGCTGGAACAGGAATGTCCCTTCGAATGAGTCGCAGCGCAATCGGGGATGACGCTCGGACTATGACTTGGAGGCTGGACTTGAGAGTTGTACAGATGCTTTGGCGAATCTGTACAGTGATTTTCCTGGGAAGTCTTGCTCTTCTTGCCAGACAGCTGTGCCATCAACTCCTCGGTTGCTTGTGCCTTGGAATTGGGCCTCCCTCCTGCCTTGCCCTCTGCCCGGCTTGCTTGTGCTCTTCCTTTCGGCGCTCCCGGGCACAGGGCCATGGAAGCGGCACCTCGGGCAAGACAGGTAGCGGCTAGCGGCAAGCATGTGCGCGTCGGCTTCCTGTTGTGGCTCATCGCCTCATCCCATGTTCACGCCGGTGGATCGGGTCCTTCATTTCAGCCATGGACTGAGCCAGACATCGGCAGCTCTGGTCACTCTTGCCCTCTTGCCCCTGAGAGCTGCATAGGGGTGACCCAAGACGCTATGTCACTTGTGCAGGTAAGTCATAGTCGGAGATTCCGTGGGGAGTCCCTTCTTACTGTCGGCACTGTACCGCGGGCACATGGGCTGCATGAGCTTGAGGGTCCCCTCATCAATTCCGCTGCTGGACTCCCTAACCCAGGCAACCCCGAGCCTCACTGCCTCAGGCCCATTGCTGTCTTTGTGGCAGGACACACGTCGGGAGGTCCGATTCAGGTTGCGATTGATACGCGGCTGCACGGGGTTCAGCTGCATAGGGTCATTTTGCAGCTTGTGGGTCTGTCATTCCAGCTCTGGCACGTCCATGAGCTCCAGACGCTATTGCCCGCCTTGCCTTTGGAGCAGGTTGTTGTCATTCCTAATGATGTGGCATGGAACCAGGCATGCATTCCAGTTGACCTCTGTGCCCTTGGAGGTACCATTTCGGTTGTCCGGGGGCCACGTCAACAGTTGGCTAGTTACTTCCTTGTTGCTGCCGCTAGAAGCCAGGATCTGGCCTTGGATCTTGCCTATACCGTATGCCGCACCCGGCATGGGTTCTTTGAGCCAGAGTGTCAGGCGCTCCTCCTCCACGGCAACGACGCTTTGCAAGCACTACCGGTGTATGCCGAAGAGATGAGAGGCAGCCGCAGCCCTACTCACTCAGCGGAGCACCGAATGGCGGTCAGCTCCTTTGATGGAACTGACCAGGGTTTTGAACTGATTGTCAATCCCCATGCCAGAGCTGTGATCATTACGCTCACCGGTCTCATTTTCTACGACACGGACCCGTTCCATGATCGGGACGAACTCCTTCGTGAAGCGTACGAAGCGGTTGGAGATATTGGTCCTCTCCGCTTGCAAAGGGTGTGGCCGCATATGCCGGGACTACCGCCACTGCAATTCGCTCAAGCCGAGCAGTCCGCTCTTCAGGTCACCTATGTAGTCGATGCCCGTGCAGTTGGGGGTGAAATTAGCCTGGTGTACTTGGGACCCCGGACCCCTGTTGCCGATGTACTTATGCAACTCCCTACCTTCAGGCAAGCGGGTCCCACTGGACCTGAGATTCTGCGAGGACTTCACGAGGGTCAATTGAGGCTCCTCCATCAGGAAGTTGTAATTTCTCCCACAACTTCCCTTGATAGTGACCCCCCTGTTTGCCTGACTCTTGTCCCTCACCGCAGACCTCACACAATGGGCCAAGCTAGGGCTAGAACTGAGACCTCCACGCAGCCGACGGCGGACGCCACTTTGTCGCATCCCGGAGGTAACACGGCAGCCTCAGCTCCTCAAGCGAACCCTAGCGCTGCTGGATGGATCAGTCTCGGGTTACTTCGCCAGGGATGGTTGAGGAATGTGCTCTTAGCGGGGTACTTCGCGACCTTGGCCTCTGCTGGTCGTGCGGTTAGTGAGCCTACTGACTTGACTGGCACGGCTAGAACCATGCCTCTTCCCCGGTTCCAGCCCGATCTGGTGTATCACGACGCCTCGATGCACCTCCGACTGCAACAAGGTTTTGTCACAGGCCTGGAGGGTGACTTTCTGCCGATTGTCTCTGGGTATGGCACCCTCCATCATGATCTAGAGGTCAACGTCTGCCTCTGGGCCCCGGACCACTTTGAGGAATTCAGAGTCCCAGGATCCATGTCTAGACATCGCCTTCGTGAGACACTCACCGAGAAAGCTAGGTCGTGGGGCCGAGGCCAAGTTGTCCCTGCAGCTACGTCGCCACATGCTCTGGCTGTACACTTCGTCGCTGTTACCACTGAATCGGGATATCGCACAACGCTCTTCGCATCGGATACATCCTGCATTTGCATCGATGTGCCTCGTGAAGCTCCGCAGGACTTCCTCTTGAGACAGTGTGAAGCTAAGTTGAGATCCGACTGTGTGCGTTTCCTGCCGATGGCCACGCCGCTCCGGCACGGTGATGTCATTCGGGTTGAGCTTGACAAGGAATTTGGGCGAGCTGATGCCAGCCGCTTTCTCCTTTACTCTGAGCTCGCTCGGCCATCTCGGTGGTTAGATGTGCTGCCGTATCGTCAGATTGCGGTTTTGACGGTTCATCGCGGGGTGCAAATTCTGCACGATACCGTCACTGGCCGAAGCCCTCACAGTGCAGTTCAGGCATGGCTTCGGGAGCGGAATCATGCGCCTAGGCAGGCTGTGGAGGTCCTGGAGCTCTCCAACCTGGTAGGTTTTCCATGTTTCCAGACCATTGTAGCTGGTGCCACTAATGCCGTCCTGTGGTTGCACGACCATTTTGGCAATCCCAACACTGGGCTAGCCCTGGCCGCTGTTGGCTCTTTCTCTGTCGCGGTCGATGTGCTCGAAGCATGTGCACGAACGTCCACTTCAGCCAGAGCAGTGTGCAGCTTGGTGTCCACCGCAGATCTCAGGACCGTCCAAACCGTGCATGGCCTGTGTGCCCAAGGCACGGGCACCAAGACCCTGTTTGTTCGTATGGCATTTGACCTGCAAGCTCTTCCTGGCGACAGCATTTCTGTCCACCGTCAAAGGGCAACAGTTCTGCGCACTAGGCCTCCCACCGGGTTAGCCGGATCAGGTCGCAATCCGTCCTCCAGGCAAGGTGCTGCTACCACTAGGGCCGCCTCACCGGTCCGAAGCCCTTCTCCTCGGGTTGCAGTACCGGTCTGTCATCCCTCACATCTTCAGGATGCTGACGGAGACCTCCGAGTCATCCGGTGCGAAACCGCTGACGTGACGTGTGTTGTCCGCTGTGGTCCACACATGCAGATTTGGGCCTTGAAGATCGAGGGTAGATGGAACGGTGCATGCACTCCCCAGGTCTCTTGGGACGCGGTTGTGTCCCTCGGCGGCCTCACTCCGTGGGATGCTGCTGATCTTGTTGTCACAACTGAGGACCAATGGTGGCGATACCCTCAAGATTTAAGCACTGCCACGGGGCGATGCCTCACTCTGCATCAGACCTGCGAAAGCGGTCGGGAGGTTCTGGGGCAAGGGGCCGCCCCTTCGGCCCACCAAGCCGCCTCGGTTGTGAGTGTCGCTCTCTGGGCTCTTGGGAAGGCCCCACTTAAATGGCTCTCCCTCGGGTGGATCCTCGGTGTCATTGCGCGACCAGCTCAGCAGGCTTCTCCCACATCTGAAGAATCCTCAAATCCCAATGCCACCGACAGCGAGCCTTCTCTTCCCTTCTCCACTGTTGCAGTTGAAGATCAGAGGGACGAGTGCTGGAATCCTCCCCTCACGCCTGCTCTCGAGGCTAGTGCAATGGCCGCTATGTTCCCTCTAGACCCTCAGCATATCTACCCGTGGTTATGCTCACTCGGGGCCACAAGTCATGACCTTCGGCTTTGGACTGCCATGCGAGGGCCCGCCTTGGTCAGGTGGACAGACACCGCATCTGAGTTTGATCAGGCTCTCAGGTTCGGCGGCTTTTGTCCTGAGGAACATGATTTGTTTGTGGCTGCTGACACAGACCCGCACACGCTTGAGCTAGTGGCTGTGCCGCGAGGACAAGGTAGCTGGTGGATTGTCCGTGACTTACTTAGTCGCGAGCTCCTTCGACCAGTCATTTGGTTTCCCTGTGCTGGACATCGGCTGGCGGTTACCACGAACTCTGCGGGTGAGGTCAATGCTCTGGCCCATCACAGCCGGCTGGCACGATGCACGATCCCACCTCAAGGAGCACGGGCAACTGTTGTCAATCCGGTTGATGGTTTTACTGCGGCGCTCGGCCAAGGGGGGCTTATACTTGCACTTGGTTCTGCTTGGCGAACCGTACCCTTGATGAGCACCATCAGCTTGGTTTGCCTTCTCCTCGCGGGGTTGCCGGGGGTCTCTGGAGCACAAGTTGCCTCCACTGGAATCCGTCCGGGCCGCCAGCTCAGCCTGGTCGCCATGTGGTTACTTGACGTCGAGGTCTGGACAGGGCACTCCATGCAACAAGCAGTCCAGATTCCACAGGTGCGCGTGTATACGGCCATCCGCATCTGGATCGTCGATCATCCATCCCCCATTCAATTGTCAGGGCCTCCTTGGCCGACTGAGGAGGAAATTCATGGCATTGTTCAGCTAGGAGGGTTCGGGGTCGAGCGGGGCACCCTCATTCCCATCCGTGGTGCGGCTGACCCAGCCATCTATGATGCCGCCTATGTACCCCTGCATTTCGGCCATTCTGGAATAGCTGCTTGCCTTGTGCAGCTCGACGGCCGCGCTGCGGTTTTTGCTTTCGATGCGCAACACTTCGACTGGGCTGCCTTCGGACGGTGGGTCGCGGATGTTTTCCGCGATGCCACCCCGTCACAGTCATTCGGGTTTAGTTTGGGCAACTGTGGGTACTCATATGGACAGGCAGTTCAGATAAGGAATGGTGATCTCGTCGTTCTGCACTGCCCACGACACCGTCACACTGCTTATCTAGCACCTCCTGATCCATGGGCGCTTGAGTCCCCACCCCCTTTGCCAGCCCGGATGCTTCAAACGGGCCCCACACGAGAAGCACCCATCAATGCTTACTTGGTGCCGCAAGGAGCCGAGGGAGTTGGAACAGGTGGTCACCGCAGGTGGGCACTCAGCCTCGCCGTTGGCCCTAGCTCACTCCAGCCAGCTCTTCCTGCTGGCCCTGCGAGCTCCACTGCTTGTGGGGTCCCAGCAGCAGCTGTCATCTGCTCACGGAACAGTTGTCCTTCCCTGCAGGCCTGCCCGTCGTTGATCACTCAACGGCATGCTGCTATCCAAACGGAACCGGGCACGGCCACGTTAGACGATGTCTGGTGGGCTATCCAGGATATGCAATGCCAACTCGCTGCCCTGGCTGCCCAGGCGCATGTGCCAGCGGCCGAAGGTTTGCCCTCTGCAGAGGTTCCCTTACTGCAAGGGCGAGGCCGAGAGGTCGACACCACTCCCACCTTCCGCGGGACCGAGAACTCCGGATCTCTTCGGCCTGCCCTTCTTGTGCCTGGTATCTGTCTCTTTGCCGGAGTTGCCTTGCAGAAGCACTCGGCTGCACGTACGTGGGTCATGCCCCTTGCCTTTCTCCTTCCGATCTGGGGTGCGCCCACTCTGGCGGGGGATCGAAGTCGGTCGAGGTCTCCTGTGCCTGCCGGCCGACACATGCCCTTCCTTCATTCAGGAGGCCAAGGGCCTTGTGGGTCTACCGGCCAGCATCGGCATGCGCATACGCTCGGCCATTTTCCTGGCAGACCACTTGCGGTAAGCGTTGCTGAGGACAGCAGGGCGCGCACCTCTGCCCCAATCTCGGAAGAACAACCCCTCAACTTTCTCCGGGTTGCTGATGCGCCTTCCATTCAGCATGTGCAGTCTGTCTACTTGCAAGCGGAAGCGTCTGCTGGCATGGGAGTCCGTTTGGGAGCTTCACTCACACGTGTTCCCCTTTGCTTGCATGATCCCTTTCAACGACGGGGATGCGCCCCTCTTTGGCTCCCAGGGGGAAGCCCGGGTCAGGCTGCTTTGGCTAATGACTTTCTGCAGGACCATGCCCTGTTGAGGGGATGGCCAGCCCTGGTCCCTGTCCGTCCACAGCCCGACTGCGGAGCACTTCATATGATTCCACGTGCTGTCGACCCTCTTCGTGCCAATGTGATCCTGCGTGGCGATGACGAACGGCTTTGGGCTGTTTCTCTCCCCTCCCACCTCACGGGCGATGATGTCCAACATCTTACCTTGGAGGGTAGTCGCATCAGCCTTCGCACTCCTCAGGAAGAGGGCTCAACTGCGGCAACCACTGCCATGACTCTGCGTGACGGTGACTGTGTTCGATTTGCATATGCTGGACCTCCACGACCTGAGCCTGTCCCAAACGGCTCATACACCAGCAGGAGCACGGGGTGGAGGCCACTCTTTTGGCTCACTCTCCTTTCGCCTGGTCTTGGCAGGATGCGTTGGGTCCTGCTCTGCTGGTTGTGCACTGGGGCTTGTGCAATGTTCGAACCGCGCTCCACAGGTCCCGTCTTTGTTCCCTTTCCTGACTATGTCAGGCAAGGGTTGCACACTAACCTGGTGAGGGTTGGTCGTTTTCCGTGGCGTACACACTTTGATGAGGCGAACCTACTCATGCTTGTCGAGGGCCGGCAATGCCAGGTCGCCTGCCTTAGCCCCTTCTGGGGCGCGGGCAAAGCAGTCAGTGTGGATGCTGAGGCTTCTTGCACCCATTCCTTCAGTCGGGCGGACAAGGACAGGATCCTTTGGGCAGACGGCTATGCTCCAGTTTGGCCAGCTCCAGTTGCGGTTGAGCTCACGGTTGTCCCGACCCCTCCGGATCCTACTACTGTCTGTATCGTTGCGAGAGTCTGGCACGCCACTGTTGCGTTACTGACACCGCGAGTTGTGACGGTTGAATGGTTGCTGCGTACGTTGAGACATGTATTTGGCAGACATGCACTCGCTCTTGCCTTGCCACCGCAAATCCGCAGACAAGCAACCGCCGGCACCTCATATCTCCAGTTGCGATCTGGGGATTATATCTTAGCCATTCCTGAAATGGCGACGGGACCGGGCACTACTGCTACAGATGACGAATCCTTCCTCCGCCACGCTGTGCCTTGGAGCTTGCCATTTCGAATCCTCGCCCCGGTTCGGATACGGCTTTGGAGGCCAGGAGACAAGCTCCCACAACAAGTGTCGGTTGAGGCCGGTAGCACATGGGATCCGGACTTGCTCACCTTCTCCAGTTTTCTGCTTAGCCATCTAGCTGGGTCTTGGGTGCCAGTGCCGTGGGTCAATGACGAGGTGCCCAATCTTGTCTGCGCTTCTGCACACCAGGACACGGCCATTGTGCTCCATGAGAGCGAGGGGGGCTGCTCTTGTGTTTGCCTGGACAATCCGTGCACAGAGGAAAGCCTTGCCACAGCCCTGTCGGCCGCGCCCTCCACTCTGCGGATTGTGGGAGGTGTGCTACGTGCCAACCGACCCTTCACTCTCCGTGATGGGGACATTGTTCTTAGCGCCTCACACACTCCACGAACCTCCGAGGAGAACATTGTTGATGCCCACCCCGTAAGCAGTACTTCAGGCGTGTCGCACAGCCAGGCCCTGTCCAGAGCTTTCCTTGTGGCTATCCTCTCCGCGTTGTCGGACAACCCGCTTATACGGCTGGGAAGTTTGCTGAGCATCTTGAGCACCAGCCAAGCCATGGATACGGTCGCTGACAACACATGCAGTCAGCCAGCCTCTAGCTCGAGAGATCGCTCTAGGTCCCCGGTGAGCGAACAGCTGCGGGATTTACCTGTTCATGAAGCAGGCAGAGTGCACGCTATCCCTCTGATTGCGCAGTTGGCTGGTCCCAGTCCCGACAGCTGTCCTATCCAGGTATGGTGTCCCTTTGCAGGCGTTACCGCAGCGGTCTCAGTAAGGATAGAAGCGTTCTGGCAGCAGATTGAAGCTATTGCCTTACAGCACTCCCCAACCGGTACTCAAGGGGTCGCAGTCTGTAACCCACCCTTGAGTAGAGGATCTTTGCAGCTTGTCGTCAGAGGCCCTGCTGAATATGCTACAGTCATCGTTGATGGCCTGGGCACTACCTTTGCTGTGCTTCTGCCCACCGTCATCACACTTGATGCACTCAAGACTGCGATGACGGTTCGGGTTGGTGTGCCGGTCCGCATTGATGTGCCGCTACCGTGTTTGATTCTCGGTGCCATTGACTCCAACTTGTACCTTCGCAACGGGGACCGACTCTCCATTGCCTTGGCTTCTGCTCACCCACTTCGTCAGCTGGCTGCCTGGCCCTGGTTCCGGGACTGGCAGGAAGCGGGGCAGGAGGCGGTTTGGCACAACACCTTTCTGGTTGTCCACTCTGGAACTGTTGTCTTATGGGCTCCGGATACTCCGGCCACTGCCGTAGCCATCCCGGGCGGTAGTCATTGGGACCCTAGAGGGATGACTATTCGAAGCCCAGGCGGCCGGGCCCTCAACGGACGCTGGGTGCCCATGCCGGTTCGTCCGAGCCGCAAGCCGTGGTTGCTGCGTCGCTCCGCCGACAAGCTGCGCCGAGCTGTGCTTCTCTCCGGCGACACCCCGGTCTGTCGGCACCTGCACCAGGCTGAAGCGGCCGCTTACCTGGAAGAAGGCGCCTATGTTGTTTCTGCCGGAGTCAACGACAAGTTACCCGACCTCCCGGACCCCGAGCTCAGAGATGGGGACTGGCTGGCTGTTGATGAAGTTGCAGCCAGCGATGCTCCCAGTAGCGCTGACCCACACCTCGGGGTTCTAGGGGTTAGCCTGGGTTTACGACTCCTACTGCATCCCTCCGGAGGGAAAGGGTCTGGTATCAGTTTCGCCCGAGTTGTGGGGTTGGAATGATAGGGCTTTTCTGTCTTCATGCCCTGACAGAGACGCCCAGCCCCCCTGTGCCTCGACTCTGCTCTGCAACCGACGGCCCTTCCACCGCATAGGCCTTGGCAGGTAGAGGTGCGAACGGTTATCCTCATGGACACGGACCTCCTGATCAATGGGAGACCCCTCAGTGGCCGTTTGCAGGGTACCGGGCAAGGGGTCTCTGGCAGCATGCCAACACATTGTCAGATTGTCTCCTTTTGCACCAGGAGGTGCTCACAGGCCCATTAACCCCGACGGAGAAGGCGGCAACATCTCCCTAGCTCGGGAAGCATGCTACTTGCTGGCATGGGGTGCGCCCAGCTCCCCAGAACTTGCTGTCAGTACTGACGCATGTGGTGCTGGGTATTGCGATCTCACAGATGCTGCCGCACTTTTGGCCGACCTCTTGCAAGTCTGGGGTGCCCCTTTGCACACTGAGCTGCCGCAAGGCTCCCGCCTTGGGAAGGCCTGGCAAAGCTTTCCTGTATGGCCTGGAGGTGTCCCCGACGCCTTGCTTGTGTCTACGGACGGTTCTGGTGAGGGCCACGGCGGGTGTGGGCTAGGCGCAAGCTCACTTGGTACCGGCTAGGTTGTGCCACTGGGCCTCTCGACTCCGCCCGATGGTACCCACTCCCGAGCACTTTCAGCCACACGCAAACCTCGTTCCATGCCGAGATGGCCGCATTGCACGCCGCCGCGGCCTGGCTGAGTGCCTATTGTGGTCTGCACGAGATATGGTGCAGGACCTCGCCCCGGCTCATTACTGTGGCGGTCGATAACACTTCGGCTCTTCAGATAGCCTCCGGGCTATGGCTTCCCTAGGCGCCTCCGGCCTGGAATGGCACCACCTCCCGCTTTGCACGGCTGCCGGCCTCCTTCCCGAATTGAACAATTTGGGCCGTGGCTATGGGCTATACGCCGCTGCCGCATGCAAGGCGGTATACCGCGGTTGTATGTTTGCCGACCCAGAGCTGAGCCAGAGCCTCTGAGTCCTGTCCTCCGCTCGTCCCCGAGCTGGGAGCCCAGCCCTCGTCCCATGGGCAAGCAGCCGCTGGAGGTGCACGAGACTGTGCAAGGGTTAAGGTCGTCTCAGCCAATATTCAAACCATCAAGGATGATCGCAAGTCCTTTTTCTCCGCTGCGGCTGGCGGCCAGCGCCGAGCTTTCTTGGGGAAGCAAGCCCAAGCCCTCTCCATCGACGTGCTTTGTCTACAGGAGTGCAGAAGCAATGCCGGAAGGTATGCCGCTGGCCCCTACCTCACCTGGCGCAGCGGGCATGAGAAGGGTCAGTACGGGGTCGAAATCTGGGTCCACCAAGGTGCCTTTGGCGGCGACCTGCAGCTCCAAGACTGGCGAATTGTGGCTTCTTCTCCCAGGTATTTGGTAATCCGTTGTCAACGGCCTGCCTTCCCGGTCGTCATCATTTCCGCACATGCTCCTCACGCAGACAGGCCTCAGCAGGACATCGTTGACTTCTGGTCCGCCTTGCGACGTGAGATCCATGCCTTGCCTCTCTCCACCCCCCTCCTTATTGGAGTGGACGCAAATGCGGACTTCACCGCGGCAGACGGTGAGGGTCAGCTCATCGGGATCTTGTGGACGGGCGCCCTCCACGGGAAGGGGATCTGCAACTTCTTTCCTTCGCACAAGACCATTTCCTTGAGGCTCCCGCCACTTGGAGCCGTTTGCATCAAGGGCAAACCTGGACATGGCAGCACTCTTCCGGCAAATGCCGGTGCCACGATCATATTTTGGTTTCTGCAGGTGGTATCCGTGCGACATCCTCGCAATGCCTTCTGGAATTTGATATCATCAACAGCACTCTTGATCACGTCCCGATCTCCTGCAGCCTACAAATCTGCGCAGAAACGGTGGCAAATGCACAGGACCGAAGGCGTCGCCCTATCCCCCCTGACTCAGTTGCTACTGCAATCGCTAGTCGTGTGTGGGAAAACTTCTCGTACCCTGGGGATCCCGAGAGAGCCACGTCAGCTCTTACTAAAAGGTTCCACCGGTTTGCCAAGGCTGAGCAGCGCCCTGACCGAGTTGTACCGCGGCAGCCGTACATCTCTGATGAAGCTCTCGAGGTCCTCACTGCTCTCAAGGAGCGACGCCGGCAGCTTCGATCTCACGCACGAGTGTGTAGTCGTAATCTGATGCACTTGGCCTTCCGGATCTGGAGCACGCCGGATCGCCCTCGGGGTCATGTTCGACAGTGTGTGCGAAATGGGCACCGCACATACGCCCGCACTTGGCTGGCGGTTCTCAGGATGAAGGAGCATGCGCACTGGCTCGCCAGGCGTGACAAGGCTGCCCACTTCCAACAGCTCACACAGAGTGCCACCGACTTCTGGCTTGACACCGGGCGAGCCATGGAAGCCACTCACCGGCTTCGTTGGGCCTCAAAGCGCGCGGCCGAGCGACGCAAGGTTTTTGCTGCCGGAGGTCATGACATTGATGCTGACTTGCTTCGGCAGTTCCAACAACAGGAAGATGGTCAGCGTCTCACTGCTCAGGAACTGCAAGCTGAGCTGCGCAAAGCTTCTGCAAGCTCCTGTAGGCCGTGTTCTGGGGCCCTGCCGTCCCTCCTTGATGTCGAGCATCAATGCCGACGGCAAAAACTGCGCAAAGCGCCCGGGCCTGACCGAATCAGTAACGGTCTGTGGAAAGGTCAGCCTGTCGCGGCGGCCCAATGGCTGTGGATGCTGTGCGCGGACATTGCGGGGCGAGGGAGGGAGCCCCCTCAGTTCAAGGCTGCGCTGGTGTGCGCCTTGCACAAAAAAGGCCCAGCCAGCGTCCCCAGCAATTATAGATCCATCGCGTTACTCAATGGTATCGCGAAGATATGGCACGGGCATGTCCGCCACTCCCTGGGACAGCAAGTTCTCGGTGCCTATCATCCTCTCCAGCTGGGGGGCCGCCGCGGAGTGCACACCGGCTTTGCTGTGGCATCCTTTCGATCGCTTGTTGCCTTGAGTGACTTCACAGGCCGCTCGTGGTTCGCCTTGTTCCTGGACGTGCAAGCTGCCTATTATGAGGCGGACCGACAGCTTCTGTTTGGCGGGGACCATGGAAGAGCAAGGCAGCGAGAAGCCTCACGCCTCGTTTCTGGCCTCCTCGCTGATGGAGTCCTCCGTCACAGAGGCATGGCCGAAGATGTGTGTGCGCTCCAGGAGGATTGCGTACGTTGCTCACATTGGTCGCTGTGCGGTCATGATGCCATCATCCTAGCGGGCAGGGGTAGCCGGCCTGGCGACGGTCTGGCGGATGTGCTCTTCGGGGCAATTTTCGCACAAATCCTTGATGATGTTGAGGCACAGCTTGTGTCCCTGCGGATTGGCCACCGCTCAGCCTCTGAAGCCGTGGGCGGGCCATGCAGGCCGATTCAGATCGCCTGGGCCGATGATCTCTCGGTCTTGGTTGACGCCGATTCGGCAACCCAACTTGCTGATGAGGTCCCTGTCGTTACGCGGGTTGTAGTTGAGACTGCCGAGATGTACCGACTGAGGGTGAACCTCGGACCGGGCAAGACCGAAGGCCTCCTGCATCTCAGGGGCCCAGGCGCCCCCGCTGCTCGTGCTGCTCTGCTCCTGCCGTCTCCGCAGGTCCCCTTCTCACCTGGCCGTACCCTGCGTCTTGTTGCAGAGTACAAGTACTTGGGGGTGCCACAGACAGCACCCGACAATGGCCGCCGAGATGCCGAAGCCTCTGTGCAGCGAGGTCAGGCCGCCTGGAGCCAAGCGAATGGGCTCATGCGCTCCCCATCCCTTCCTGTCGAGGTCAAGGTTGCTTGGTTCACAGGCAGGGTGCTGCCGGCAGCATACTCTAGCCTCGCCACTGCCCTTGTCGACTCGGGTCGGGTCTGGACCATCTACCAGGGGTTCTTCGACAGATGCCAGCGATCCCTTGTTGCTTCCTGGTCGGTCTCTCATCACCTGACGCGCGAGGCGCTCGACGTCCTGGTACCAGCCGCCACACCGCAAGTCGCCACTATTCTGTGTCGGGCGCGCCTTGCAGTTCAAATTGCCACCACTGCCCCTGCTGCCGTCCTTGATCTTGTTGAGGCCTCTTGTGAGCGCGATTTGCCGTGGACGTCCCTACTCAAGGACGCAGTATGCACAGTTGGTACTTTCGCGGGGCTGTCTCCCGATCAGTTACGGGACAGCCCGATGCGGATTGCCCGAGCCCACGAAAGACTCCTGAGAGGCGCCTGCCGACGGTTCGGCAGATTCGGCTCCGGGCTGCTTGCCTTCCACAGGCTCTGGCGCAGCCGCGCCATCCGTGTACAAACTGGCACCATCGGACAGTCCCACCCCGTGCAGTGCCCAACGTGCGGATGGATTGGACGTACTGCCCAGGCTCTAGCGGCGCACCGGCACCGCAAACACGGCACCCTTGCCAGAGCTACTGAGCTCTGTAATGGTACTACCTGCAGCTGGTGTTTGCGAGACTTCCATTCTTCTGATCGTCTCAAGTACCACATCGCCACCTCGGCCGGACGTCGCCTTCCCCTGGAGATTTCTGTGGGGGCGCACCACCAATACGGGTCGGGTACGAAACGGCGAGGCCCGCAGCAACATCGCCGGCTGCCCCCGATTCAGCTGTGCGGTCCTCGCAACGCGACACCGGCTGAGAGGCACGCTTTGGACAATGATCAGCCGTGGGATGCCGCCGCTCTTCTTGTCGAGTGGGAAGAGGCCCAGGCCTCTCCCGAGGTCGAGGAAACCCCACACACCGGAGCAGCTGAATCCGAAGCGGCCACTGCTCCCGGTCTGCCTGCCTCTGCCTCTGCGCTTGCGATTGCCCAGCTGGCCGGCAGAAGCTTCTTCTTCCAGGGCCAAGGCCATGCTCCATCTCCCCTCTGGTCTGGCTTGCGGCGAGGAGCTGCCGGCTGGTGGCTTCCACACAATTGGCAACACCTCGCACGGTTTTGGCAAGCCATGGCCGATTCTGCTGCCCTCTCGCCCTCAATCCTGACTGGTTACCGGGCGGCCATCCGCTCCCTTGCGGATGTCCGTGACGTCCCGGCTCATTGCCCGGTATCCGGGGGAATCTCCGCTACGGGCCCTGAGCTTCTTCTGCGGCATACTCTCACTTTTCTGCACCTTGCTCGGCTGGTGCCGTTGGGTCATGCCTTGTGCTCTGATGTACCACCCAGCAGTTGTCTGCGCGCGGCTTTGGGTTGCATTTGCCCGGATGCCGCTTGGTCTCTCACTGTCGTTCGGGATCATCCTGCTTGGATTTTCGCTTCTCTCGGTTCTTCCCTGTCGCGGCTTGCCTTCCTTTTCCGGCATCCGCCCTCTCCTCTGGCTTTCGCGGCTCCCCATCAGCTGTCTTCTCCCTGAGCTGCTTGTTTGGGCTCTTCCCGTCTGATCGGGTTGCCTTCCTGCGGGGTTGTTGTGCACGCCTCGGTGGTGCACCCTCCTCGTAGGTTTGTTTTCTTCGGTTTTGTGTTTTGAATTGGCTGCAGGCTTTGCCTGTTTTTGGCCTGCATGCGACCGCCCCGGACTTCCGAATGCGTGAGAGAGAGAGTTTGGGGTTTAGGGTTTGGGGTTTAGGATTTACGCAGGAGGGTTTAGGGTTTCGGGCTTAAGGCTTTCGGAGTTTAAGGCTTAACATAGCGGCCTTAATGATTAGAATAGAGTTTTGGGGGGCTTCCTTATTATGTTTACAGGCAGAACAGCCAGAATGCAGACGCATATTTTCTTGAGCCAATGAATGACGGTAGGTGCAGTTGACTAGCTACATCTTCCACAAAATACACCCCCCGCGCATCTTAGTGCAACGGTGGAGGCGAAGGTGATGGAAGGAAAGACTAGTCACTAGACCGTCGTAAGCATGTCACTTTGTGACAGCGAAAACAACTTGCAACAAAAGCAAATTATGCGGCCAATGTTTTGCGCCCTTTGCTGTTCGTACGAGCAGGGTAGCTACCAACCCGTTAGGGCGGTGCCGACGCTTAAATCTCACTTCACTACTAACCAGACGGCATCTAAATGTCTCAGAATACCATCCCGTTAGGGAGGTGATCAAGCTCGGCGTAATGGGCCGTCGATCAAATGACCTCAGTAGATGCGGTCACGGCGGTTAGTCCTGTAGTTGAAGACCTCATGGACCCAACCTGACAAGAACCATTGGGCATGAGAGGTGTCCAGAATCGTGAAGCCATGTGGATTACCATGAGTAGGAATGGCATTCACCACTGAAGTAGGCTGGATGTAATCTTCGGTCATCGCAGCGAACACCGCCCATTGGTACATGTCAACGCGGTGCCAGTCCATTCGCCTGGCAAGCGCAGGATCGATGATGTTGCCGGAAAGATCGTTCCCCAACACGAAGTGCGGGTACAACAATCCTGCGACCCTGAGCTGCTCAAAGAAGTTGACAACAGTCTCACGCATCCGGACCTCTCGGTCGGAGATATTTCTCGTCTCGAAGAACACGCCGAAGGTCGGTGGGTCATGGGGTCGCCGGCGATAGGTCTCGGACCATTCGCGCCTTGTGCCGAGATCAACAGCAGAGGACGGTGCCTCGCTCACTGTCCCATCCATAGTGGCATCGGGAGCAACCGTTTCCGGTGCTGGATTGCTGAAGCCTGTACCAGCCCGCATTGCATCCCAATCCGCGTCACTGATGTAGTCGGACGGATCACGTGCCACACGCCTGGGCGGCGGCATCGCAGGCTCCCGAGGGGTGCGATCGGTAGATGAGCCCGCTGCGTCTCCAGGGTTGGTCCGGATATGGACCTCGGTCGGACGATGTCTGGCAATCGGGGACCTTGTGCGATTGCGGTCTGCTGGACCCGATGCACGCTCGTCAGAGCTGCGACCTCGTCGTGCAGGAGATGCCGGAGGCTCAGGTGGACGACGTTCGGACGCGGGTGCCGAAGTGGTCAACCTCACGTGGCCGCTCTCCCCGATGCGCTTGTCCATATAATATTGCTGGTACCGACGATAGTAAGGAGTATTGGCTAGCAGCTCATTGAGCTGACGTTTGCCAAGTCCCTGTGCCTCAGCGGGTACCTGCAGATTTCTCTGGGTGCGCAGAGAAGGATTTGTCCTCTCGATCCTTGTCCGGCTCAGTGGCAATTGTGCCTGGAAGAAAGTAGCCAGCTCGGCCATGATCGGCAAAATTTCATTCTGCACGACGATGTATTTCTCCCCATCGTACTGCAGGATGGAAAACTCATGCTGGTTCGATTTCACAGCCTTGATGAGAACTGCAATCTCATTGATGGTGTAAAACCGATCATGAAAACAAATCAGACACTCCGTGAGGAGGTCGATTTCAAGCTGGCCTGTCACCCAGAGGAGGGCAACCTTCCCGGTGGCATCATAGTAGGTGGACGAACCATGCCCTTTTCCCTTGCCCTGAGGATCGGGAAGCCTCACGTTAGCGAAGCGTTGCAGCGCCTCGACAGTGTGAAAGCTGAGACCCATTTTGGCGTAGTTGTGAGCGGTGATTGGGTCCACACTGTATTGCCCCTGCGGAGTGGTATTGTGGAGCTTCTCCGCTCTCTTCTGCTGATTGAGGACCTTCTGGCGGATGCCAGACGCTGTGCTTTGAATGCGTTCCCTTTCTTCTGGCCCTTGAATCTTCACGCGCTGGCGTGTGAGTCCCGAGGATGGCTGCAAGTCAATGATGTTGACCTGCCTGCCCTCTCGGGCGGCGCTTCGCCGGAGTCTGTCGGGCTCGGCGATAATCGCAAGGTCGGTCATCTCGATGAGACGACGTTGGCAACCTGGACAGGAGATCATTCCGTCGATGTACTTGTGATTGCACGAGCTGCAATGGTACCCGGGGTAGAGGATCAACTCCTGTTTAATCCAGTGCCTTGGTTCGATCCTCTGGCGAAGTCGGATCCGCTTGCCTTCCATGGATGGCCAGACGTGGATACCGATCCCGAGCGAGCCGTCATATGTTTCGATGAGCTGGTCCTCGTTCTTCCTTCGCTCGATGACTTCTTCGCCGACCTCGCTCAAGATGTCCGCCGAAATGCGAAATGGGGTCTTGCAATCGATTGCGACCGGCGCCCACTCAGCGATGGTGAGATTCTCGGCGCTTTCCAGCAAGTCGAGAAAGCAGTTGTGCTGCTCCAAGGCAAATTGATCCGGACCAAAGATGTATTTATGACTTCCATCCTTGTTCCAGCTCGCTAGAGCGGAGTCAATGTTCCGACGGAACGCCTGGTAGGCCGGATTGACCCACACAGGCTCTGCTGTGCCCCGCTGATAAGCGTAAACCAGATATCGATTGCTGATCCAATCTGGTGTCTCCAGTGCCCCGGAGCGAGTCTCGAAGAGCCGGACGCCGTCCAAGACGGCCATTTGGAGATCGATGGCGAACTCGACGTCCGCCGCCTCGCGAAGGCCCGCATTATCATCCCTTTTCCATTCTGGTTGCTTTGACATCATGACAAAAGCTCTGCTACCACTCTCGTGGAGCGCGGCACCACCAGGCAACAATCCGTATCTGATGATATCTGGGAAGTGCCTCATGAAAGTGCCGTGGTAGCCCAGTTTGCAAGGGAAATCGACAAACTCCTGGGAGAACATGTCGAACGGATGATTTTTAGGCCGAGTCGCTAGACTGGCGTCCCATGGCACAAAGGAATGCACCACGGAGTGGATGTCAGCGAGTTCGGTATCGTCACCGAAGAGCCCTGACCAATGCCCATGGATAGCCCGAGCTCGAAGCACGTCAAATTCCTGATTGTTGTGCTTCTGAATGTAAATCTCGTAGCGGGCTTTCCCGTCGACTGGGGTCTTAAAGACTTCGAAGATCTGGGAGACCTTGAGTCCGTTCCAGATCTGGCTAAGGGCATCGATGAACTCTTCCCAGTCCATCGAGAGGTCATTCCGACGAATCGTCACTGTCGGCGTTCTATTGCCGTACTCGGGCTTGTTGGTGAAGCCTCTGAGGATGAATGCACACTTCTTGCCAAGTGCGAAGCGCTTGCCCTCACTGAGGTTGCGATGGTCAGACGCGAAGGGCGGCAGGTCCAGGCCTGACAACCAAAATTGACCATCCCTTCCGGGAGGTGACGCTTCTGCCTTGGCACTGGCAGCGTGCTCCGCTTTCGGCGTAGGTGCCGATTTCACAGCGGTGATAGGCATCTTCTTAGGAGGCGGTGGCTGCAACGGTTCAGTAGGCTTTGCGCCAGACGATGCAGACTTCCCAGGAACTTCCTTGGGCGGGAGTGTGCCAGACGCCGACGATGAGGATGCAGCCTGCGGCACGGCAGGAGGCACAGCATGAGCCTTCGTGGCCAAAGGTAAGATACCAGTTGCCTTAGGCTCCGCGTCAGCGGGCCGCGACTTCGGAGGAACAGGTGGTTTCTTGGCCTCCTCCAACTGCATTTCCCTCATCAAATTCTGAATCCCGACGGATCCCCTCGCGTAGAATCGGGGCCGCTTGCTGAGTTCTTCTTCAGTGAGCTCCTCAAGACCTTTGAAGATTTTGTTAGACTCAGCATCCTCGTTAGAGGTGCGACCAATCTCCAGATCGAGACCGTAGACGCCGAGGGCATTCGCCAAGGCAATCTCTTCATCAGTCGCAGTCTCTTCACCGTGACTGCCGATCTGGAGCTTGGTGATCATCACAGAGGGATCCGAGTTGTCCTCAGTTCTCTGGACAACATTCTCGGCTCCAGGTGTCGTGTCAAAGAGGACGCGATCAGTGTCGGTCAGCTCCTCTGGCTCAGCACACAGAAGATCCTGATGTGCGGCCAACAACGGAGCACTCAACACGATCTGTTCGTCGTCCCCCCGGACGTCTGGCGGTTCCTCGCGCTCAGTATCGGCACAGACGTGCATGTCCTTCAGTGGCGGGACCGTTATTCTGGAATCCGGTTTGGCCAGATGGAAGTGTTCGAAGAAGACCACCTCTCGGCGGTTGGCAACCAACTCTGAGCGCAAGTCCGTCACCGCCCGATCGAAGACCGTAGCGGTGACAAGCGACTTGTACCAGGTGACAACCGCAGCCACATTGTCAGCCGTGAAGTTCGTGTGAAACTTGTCTGGTCTGTCAGTGGCGCCCAGCATTGGGTTGGGGTCCACCAGCCTCACACCTGCTTCGGCCAACACTTTCGTGTGGCGAGTCATCTCCTCGTCGTACTCTTCCGGCAGGCCGTACATGAAGCCATTCTCAGGGCCTGCGATCATTGTCACAGAATTCACCCCTGGCCGGTCCTTTAGGGCGGCGATCTTGACGACATCTTCCTGAACCTTCTTGAGCTGCTTGATCGGCCATTCGAAGGCTTTGCGAGCCATCTCGGCCGTCTCTTTCACCCACGGCGACTGGTGGTGCCAGGTAAAGGCCTTGTAGCCCCACTTGCCATAGACGT